CAATGTTGTCCTGGTTCTAGTTGTGCAAGGTAATGAAAACAGACCTGGTACTTAACAGCTATCTGTTCCACAGCCATCTGTGCTCTAGAACACCTGATGAAATCTCCCATGTGGTAATAAAATTCCAGAATAAGAAGAAATGTCCCTTCTTCCATGTTATTTATCTCATGTGCAACCAATGGTATCTTTTGCCATTGAAATGTCTAGAAGCTGTGGAAGCTATAGCAGGAGTCTCCTCTTAAGTCACTTGCTGGAAAGCTGGGCAAGTGGGAGGGGTGACTCTCAGGACCAGCCATGGTAGGTTTTGTTCTTCACATCTGCTGTTAAGAACCAGGCACAAGGTGTATATCAAACTTAACAGGAGGCAGGGACTGGTGATAGACTGGACAGTATATTTGTCTGCATCTGAGTAAAGATCAAGCCGAGGCTGACTCTAGGCTCATCACTTCCTCACCCCATGTCTCAGTTTCCCCATTTGTAAAATGGAAACAACAAAACGGGCTTCATTGGTAAGGTGTTTGAAGCTCTACAAAGAGAAGTGCTGAAAAAAAGAGGAGGACCTTATTTTTACTAGAGATGCTTGTAAGGGTGGAAAAGGGCTCACTGCTTCTTTTGCTTCTGGCGAGGAAAAACAAACCAAGGGCAAGAATAAATGATGCTGGAGACATAGGAGGCTGGTTCCCAGGACCAATGTTTTAATGCATGGAGTGTAGAATTGTCCCTTGCCGCTCTCTTGCTGTAATGGTATCTCCCTTTCAGAGGCACTGCTATCAAGATTCAAATCCCTTACTAATGCCCTCCAAAGGATCTGTTTGTTGCTTGCAGATGTCACTGGGTGTTCTCTCTCTCCCTCTCTCCTCTACACCATTGGGTAGGTGATGACAAAATAATTAAGCTCTGAGTCAATCAGGTATTTGAACTTCCTGTAAATATCGCACAACAGCCGATCTTCCTCACTGGTCTCTTGTCGGGCTGTGTAAATTCTGACCTGTATGCATGAATGACAGTCATGTCTCAAATACGTGGAGCAGGCTCAGCCCATTAAGGCTCATGACAACAAGAAGCCTCCATGACTAATGAGGAATCTAGAGAAGCCAAATTCCTTGACTTCGAGTAAAATCTTGAGTTTTTACTCTGTTTTCACCTAAAAACATCATCTCCTGCTAAAGAATTTTTGGGAAGAGTAAAGTTCCTTTTACCCCCAGAACTGATGCATCTCTGTGATATGCATAGATCTGGGACAATCTCCTGAATTCGGAATCTAGCACACAAAGCAGCATGACAGCATGGCTTACACCAGCTACGTGGTCTTGTCCCCGGTTCAACACAGCATCCCTAAAGAGTGAGGTGTTTTTATATCTTTTTGCAGTTTAGAGGGACTGAACCCACATGCCTGAATGGAAGCATAAATGGAAGCACTAGGCCTGGGAGGTGACTGAAAATCCCTACGTTGAACTAGAGGTGACAGAGGGAACCCCAGTCTATGAAGGACTGTGGAATTGTTGGGGCTTGTTATTAAACTTCTATAGTATTCTGTGTATGGCTAAGTAGGTTGGAAAGCCCCATTCCTGTGAGTGGTTCTCAGGCTCGTTATAATGGTAAAACATAATATAGGGAAAGTAGTTATGTTAACATTTCTGTAAGTGACCTTTCACTGGGCATGGGGCCCTCATCTTTCTCTGGGTATTGGAGACGGAATGGGAGCTTTGAAGCATAAAGTCTTACCTTTATGGTAGTCAAAATGCATTTCCTTTCCGCACGGTTTTGTAGCAGTCTTTCCATAAAGGCGACACTTAGAAATGCCCAGACTTTCAGAAATAACAACTTCTTGCATGATAAGATGAGCTGTAGCAGCTCATCATCCAGCAGCTCATGGCCATTGTTTAATTCAAGCGTTAATTTCTTGAAAAAGAATGAACACTCTTAGTACTACTGAACAGAGCTTGTAAGCACAGTAACTAGAATTCAAGAAACAATTTTAACAACAGAAGTAACTGTCAGCAGATCAATTTTGTACCTTTACATTAGCACAGAATCAGTTTTGTATTATGACAACAGCATATGCCACACTAATCTCCACTCTTAAGACAGGGGGGGTCCCTTGTGCATTACATACCATCCTAAGGGACAGACAACTTCTATTACCATTAGAAGGTGCTGCACCCAGAGCTCATGCTATGATCTTATTTGACATATTGGAAATTATCCAAGATGCGAGACTAGATCCAAAGAAAATTTCTAGAAATCTTTACAGATCTCTGGTGTTTATTGGAAACTCTGCAATGCAACAGAATTTAAAGAAAGCTATCAGCAACCGTCAGGTATAAGGCTGTGTGCTTCCCTCAGGCATGCAAAGACCTGATGCTCATTTACATGGGGTCAGCCGATGCACACCTTTGGTGACACATCCTGATGACAGCAAAATGCTTTGACACGGGCACCAGTTAATTTACATGTGCTGTAAGACATTTGTGAATTGCCAAAATGGAGCAAAACCATCAGTGTAGGCTGATGCAGGTTACAGCTCTGTAAGCAAACAAGGTGCACAAACTATTTTCCTCCTATGCAGATTTCCCTGCAAAATGATGGGGTTCAGAAGAATCTGAAAGGATAAGAAAGTTATCAGTCACTAAACGTGAAGGTGTCTAATCAGAATAAGCCTAAAGTTTTCTTACAAAAATGTTTTCCTGTCTGAAAGGTTCTTTTTTGCTCACAGATGACGTTACAACCACCAATATTTTGGGTTTTAGCTTTTTGTGAAGGTAACCTGACATCAGCCTGACAGCAGAGATTAGCATAATGGGGATTGTAACTGGACAAGGACAATTACCTGAACTAGACTACAGGTGGAACACTGAACAGCTCACTTAAGAAAATTACCCTCTGAACATAAAACTGAAGCAGTCAGAAATTCCTACTGAAATTCTGCTGTTATGCAGGAGACCTATATGATTACTTTGCTTAGCTTTGTGATACCACAGTAAGCTATCATTATCGTTTCTCTTACCTGCAGAACATGCCAGTAGGCTGGGAGAAGGTTGGTGAGGGTAGGTCTCATTATCCAGTCTGGGTCACTGAAATAGCAGCTTCGGAGACTGATGCTCCTGACTGGGATCTCCACTAGCAGGATCCTGGCTAGGTGATCATGCTTCATAACTCTTTCAAAGAAGAAGTTCACATTCAGTTTTGGAGCTCTCTTGGCTAAGTTTGCCCATGACATTCCCCAGACCACTTGCCCATGAGGGTCATGGATATGACATTTGATATTCAAAGCGCACAGGGAATGAGCGCTGTGCTCCTGCAGGATGTCCAGCAGTTCATTAGAGATGCAGTTATAATTGAAAGTCAGGATGACCAGGCTGTGGAACTTGGACATAGTTTGGTGGAACAAAGTGCTGCTGTAGACAGGAAGTTGGAGACTGAAGAAATCCTCAATATTGATTTCAGATATAAAGCTTTTATTTGTCAAGCAGCTCAGAGAACTCAGAAGCTCACAGCCTTCTTCCAAGGTTACTCTTGCTCCTTTTAAATTGAGATAATCAAGCTGTTTGCTCATTCTTTTCAGGAAGGTAGCTAAGTTCTTGATAAACTGAGCCCTGACCACATTTTTCCAGATCGAGCGGTCTAATTCCAGGTAGTTGATGCTGAAGGATACTAGGCGGCTGTTACACTTACCCAGGTGTGAAAGAAGACCTTTCATAGTCACTTGAAATTTTTGGGTAAAGGCTGTATTGTAAGGATTTGATAAATTGATCTCAAGGTGCTCCAAATACTTGCCAAATTTCTTGACGTACCACAGTGCACTTTGAAACTCCAATGTGCGTGTCCTTGATGGTCGGCCATAGAATGTGATGGTTCTGCTTCTCCAGAGGGATCCTGAGTACATGGCCCAACTCCATTTTTTACAGACCAAGGCAGCCCGAGATCTGTCCCTGTCATCTAACCAATGGAAGACATGCCTCAGACAGACATCAGGTAGATGAGCCCAGGAGCTCTGCTCAGGTTCACTGTTGTCTTCCATTGAGGAGACAATTTTTCACTTCTTTTATGGGTGTTGAGCCAAACCTAGATGAAGAAAGCTGTGGGTAGATTTCTTGCCATTCCCAAAACAACAGACTTCCAGGCAAATGGATGAAAGTTTGCTTCTTCACATTCAAAAACAACAATCCTTTCTTTGCCTCTGTACTGAAGCTGTCAGGGTCAAACAAGCTTTTGGGTCTAAACTGTAATCTAACCTAAATCAAAAGAGAAAAAAAAAAAAAAACAACCAAGCAAACAATGAGTGAAGAACAATTGCAGTACCAGCACAGGAAACATATTTTTAACTTTTTGGCCTTCAGTCTAGCTAAACAGTTAAATGGTATCAACCGCTGATAGAGTAGCCACAGCCTCTAGAAACCTTTGGTTTAGCATCAGCTGTAGTTGATAATGGTTTGTGGCTTGATGCCTAGTGTCTAAAAGTATCCAGTGCTTTGGGCTGTACACAATTGAACACTACTGTTGACACCAATCTAGTGTAAACTACTCATCTTTCTAGGGTACTGTTCCATGCCAATCATCTGAGGTAGTACCCTGCCACGGATTAAGGTGCAATCCCTGTTGAGAGCAATAAGCAATATAAGCTGTTCCATCACTCAGTTTAAGCAGGATGTTCAGTCATTATGCTCCAGTGGGCACGGAGAAGGCTAGCAAGTCAGAAGACCAACTGGGTAGTGGTATATGGAAACACATAAGTAAAAAAACACAATGCAAAAAGTTACCAATTCCACTCTTAAGGCTGGACTGTGTAAGTATTTGGCTCCCTGTGCACTTTTCCTGCTCTCATAGTCTCCCTCCAGAGTTCAAGATTTGTTTTCTCTTCCCTCAGCAAAGTTCAGCCATTGCCATGGAGCAAAGAGGTAACGTTTGTGATGTCATG